AAATCTGCCCTCCCACTTCTCCTCCCTCCTCCCCAGGAGCAGCAGGCACAGGGAGGGCCCCCATGTGTGTCTAAAGTAGAGGGGGGTAGGCCAGACAGATGGAGGGGCATTCCCTGGGGGAAGCTACACCTTTGTTCTGCTCCCTGGCACCTCCAGGCAGAGATGGTGTCACTGTCAAGGGGCAGGGAGATGCAGGGGCAGCTTCTGAGGTTACAACAGCTACAAGGTGCTGGTAGCTGGGGTAGAGATGGGGCCACCCCAGCATCTCTGCTCAGTCTGAGGCACTTGGGTCAGAGAGGTGGGACCTGGGCTGCAATGTCTGTACCAGCCTGACAGCAGGAAGTGTCATGTCTGTGCTCTTTCCCCCTCCAGACACTCTGCCATCTGGCCTGGAGAAGATAAGCCGGGATGTACCACAGCCATATGCCAAGGGTAAGCTCTCGTGGGGATTGTCCTGAGTCACAGCAAATTCCCAGAATCCTGCACAAGCCACGAACACTTTCTCTCCACTCAGGCCTGGGCCCTTGGACTGATGTGTAGCTGCTCAGTTCAGTGGTGGGAGGTGGCAGTTGTCCCTCGGGGCTGCTGTGTCCTTCTTCTTGCCCCTGGCAGAGACTCTCCTGGTTCTTTTCCCACCGCCTCCCTCTCCTCGGGGCTGTTCCCTGCTGTTGGGGGATTGGGGGGGGGGGCAGTGGGGGAAAGATGCTGCTGCCTTGTGCCACTCCTCATCCCCCCGCCCTGCTTGGCCTCACCCCCTGCATTGTTCAAGCAGCTCCCCTCCACAGCTGCCTCTTCACCTCCATTCCCAGCCTGGGAGTGCAGGGCAGGTCAGAGGAGGGAGCGTGAGGCTGTCGCCTGCCTCCTCTTGCCCCCCCTCACTCACAGCTCTGGGCCCCTTCCTGCCCGTGTCCCTGCTCCTGGGAATGGGGCAGCCCCCACTGAGGGGCCCAGGAGCAGGAGCGGCTGCCAGTGCCAGGCTGTGGAGCCGCGGGGCCGTCTGTGCTCAGGCTCCAGGGCCCAGGGCAGAGGCAGCTCCTGACTGAGGGGCCCAGGAGCAGGAGCGGCTGCCAGTGCCAGGCTGTGGAGCCGCGGGGCCGTCTGTGCTCAGGCTCCAGGGCCCAGGGCAGAGGCAGCTCCTGGGGCCCAGGTCGATTCCCGGCAGGGCGGGGGGGGTCCAGGACGATCCCAGGCAGGACAGGGAGGTGGGGAGGGGGAGGAACGGCCCCGCCTGCCCCGGGGCTGAGCTCTGCCCTGACGCTGCGATTCTCTCTGCCAGTGACGGTGACTCTGGATTCAGACATGGCTCATCCCTGTCTCACTGTGTCTGCGGATGGGAGAAGTGTGACACGGGTAGTAACACGGCAGGATTTGCCCAACAATCCTGAGAGATTTTTCTTTGAGACGTGTGTGCTGGGTTGCGAGAGATTCACCTCCGGGAGACACTGCTGGGAGGTGGAGGTCGGAAAAGCACACATCTGGGCTGTGGGGGTTGCCAGAGAGTCTGTGAAGAGGGTGGGATGGATCAGCCTTAGCCCCGAGGCCGGGATCTGGGCTGTCCGGTGCCGGGTGGGTGAGTTTGAGGCTCTCACGGCGCCTGCTCCCACCCGCCTGTCCCTGCCCCAGGTGCCCAACAGGGTGCAGGTCTGTCTGGACTGTGCAGGGGGGCAGGTGTCGTTTCTTGATGCTGACACCGAGTCCGTGATCTTCACCTTCCCCCCACCCTTGTTCGCTAGGGACACAATCCAGCCCTGGTTCTGGCTTAGTCTCCGGCCTATGCTACAATCCAGTCTTGATTCAACCCAGCTTAGACTGTGCTCCTGAGCTCGGCGTGGGATTTTGCCCAGCAAATTATCATGTGGGTATCTCTGGCCTTGTTTTAACCAGTCTCCCTGACCCTGGAGGGAGTCCCCTCTACTCAGCCCTCCCTCCCTCTCTCTGGCCCAGGTGATCTCTCTGCTCTTAGAACAGGGGCAGGCAATGATTTCAGGCGGATGGCAGCTTAGTGAGTTTTGGTGGGGTTGCAATCTTAGAATCAGAGAAAACCAAATCATACACTAAAAGTCATATGCCTACTATAACATACTTTAATTTTGGTACAAAAAATATTTTTGTCATAAGTTGTGTTTGCATACTGTACATAGAGGTTATTTCATAATAACTCAAAAATAAAAAGTCTTAGTTTTGCATAGTGTGGGGGTGTACGGTGGAGTGTGGGGGGTGTCGTGTATATGGTGGGTGTGTGTGGTAGGATGGGGGGGAGTTAGCAGGGGGTGTGGGGCATGTTGGGGGGGTTGTGTATATATGGGGGTTGTGTGGGCAGGGTGTGGGTGTCTGAGGGAGGGAGGATGGGGGCGGGTGCTGACATCCCCCACTCTCCCACCATGGCAGTAGCAGCAGGCTGTGTGCTCAGGAGCAGGCGCCTGGTGGGGTGTGGCTCTGGCCAACGCTGTGCATTGCGGTGAGGGCTGTATCCTTTGCTAGGCTGCCTGTATCACTGGTGCTCCTTGCCACTCATGCACAGCCCCTGCACTCGCCAGGCACGGGAGGGAAGCTGCAGTGCTGGAGGTGACTGCCTTCCCCACTCAGCACAGGAGAAGCCCCACGTGCTGGAGCTGGCTGCCTTCCCTGCTGCCCAGGGAAAGGCACCTGCGGCTTCCCTCCCCTGCAGCTCAGCCCAGGCGGAGAAAGCAGCCAGCTCCATGCCTGAGGCTTCTCTCCTGTGCTGCGCAGCCCTGGCAGGAAAGGCAGCCAGCTCAAACACATGGGGCTCCCCTCCTGGGCTGCGCAAGTGCAGGGGCTGCACACAAGTGGCAGGGAGCACCAGCAATACATGTGATCCGGTGCAGGCTGCGCCCCTTGCTGCGATGTGCAGTGCTGGCTAGAGGTGTGCCCCCCGGGCACTTGTGCCCTGAGAACCCTGCCTGCTGCTGCTGCCACTGCCTGCTGGAGCTGTGCACCATGTACAGAGTGGGGTCTCCACACTTCTCACCATTCCTCACACCCACACACTGCCCATGCTGCTGCGACCCCCCTGGGTGGGGCTCTATGCTGCCACCAGCCTCAGCCCCATGCTCCCACTCAGCTGCAGGCCTGCCCCCCTGCTTCCCTACCTGCTTCCTGCCTGGAGTCAGCAGGAGACAGGGGAAGCAGAGCAGGTCCCCAGGGGCTGTAGCAGTGGCAGTAGCAACCCCACGCAGAAGTTGCATGCTGGCCAGCCGGGCCCTTCTATGCATGAGGGCGGGAGTGAAGCAATAGGGTACGTTTGGGGCTGTGTCTACATGTAGGTAGACCCACCCTCATGGGCAGAAGGGCTGGGCAGGGCACAATTTAATGGTGGGTGCTACTGGCCGGATGAAAGTCCTTGGCAGGCCGAATCAGGCCCGTGGACTGTATTTTGCCTGCCCCTGTCTTAGAGCAAGCCCAAGCTGTCTGTAAAGACCAGCCCCTGACACAACTGCAGGTCTCCCGGGGTGTAACAGGACTCGGGCTCCAGGGACAGCCATGACACTTTGTAGTGGCCATTCAGCTTCTGCTCTGCATCAGCTCTAGGTTGCCCTCCCTTTTTTTTTCCTGCTATGCCTTAGTTAGAATAGTTGACATAGGAAAAGGGAAGCTGCCCCCAAGGGTCCTAGAGGGACCCCTGCTCTGGTTACCTGCTTGCAGAGTCTTTTCATACCCATTGATCTTATTCCATCCTTTACGTTAAGTGGGCCCTCCTGACCTATACGCACATCGCAGATTGCCAGATACCCATTCAGTCTCTAACCTCCCCTACAGGGTCACAGGTGTTACCACTTATTCATTAGCAGGGATTTGCTCCCGATCTCTGCTTCAGTCCATTTAGTCCTCTTAAGCCTTTATCATTCTCTGCAACTCTTGGGCTTGGGCCTCTCTGCCTTTATCAATCTCTGCCCCACCCTCCACCTTTAGGGCTCTGGTCTTGCCCCTCTTAGGTGCTGGGCCCCAGCCCTGTCTCTGGCTCAGTATCTTGCCCCTTCTCTATCAGTGTCCTGTCCCTGGCAGGCTCAAGCCTCCTGCCTCTCTAGCACCTTGGGACTCCAACCTTCCCTTATCAGTACCTGCATGGTCCCCGGGGAATAACCACAACAAAAGAATAAGCCCACAAGCTATAACAGAAACTCTAAGCATGCTGGCAGCATAACTCGGATACCTCTCATCCTGGGGCTTAGCTCCTTGTAAGCCTTCAGCCACTTACTCACAGTCCCCGTAGCCACAGGGTCTCAGTCAGCACCCCAAGC